ACTCGCAATCATACTGATACAGTTTCGTCCTTCATAGGAAAGACCACATTTAAGCAGCAGTTGATCTTCGATTAATTTCAACGTGGAGTTGAAAGGGATTCAAGAATGCTTAGCTTTTTTCTGCCTGTTTGTGCAGTTTGGAGAGTGAGAGGAAACCGGGGGAAAAGTCCCAACTTCAGGCTTGGAAAACTGTGACCTTGCACTCTGAATCCTTCAACATATTGACGACAAAATGAAACAAGAGGGGAGAAAGCAAAGAGGGAGGGAAAACAAAGGAAGAACGGGGGAGAAGACAGAGGTTTGAGAAACAGAAATCAAAGAGAGAGGGATTAAGAGCTTGACTGTCCTTGTATGTTACTGTTGCACATATCACACACAGAGACTCAAAAAGAGGACCATTATTTTGCTCTAAACACACAGACAAAATCCCTTTTTGGAAAGAGCAGTACACACAACACACAAAGCTTCTGACAGGACTATAAATAGAGATTCTTCAATCATCTATTCAACAACCACAACATTCTCCAGATACACACAGCTTCAGCTCACACTGTGGCTCTAGTTTGAGAGGAAATTTAAGCCATGGGGAACTTGTGTGTAAGTGCATGTGCAGTTCAGCTGTTGTGCTTCACATGATCTCCAGTAGGATGCAAGTGAACACAATAAGCTGCTCTTATCTTTGAAGGGATGGAATAAAGACGTTTTCATGAAAAAAGACAGACAGGAGGAGGACAGAGAGAAGGAGAAATAACGAGAGGTCTGGATTTTCTCTTCTCCTGTTGATTTGGGATATGTGTCTGTTTCCTTAAATTATCAGTAGTGTTTCCTCTATGTGTCATTCAGAGCAGGAAATCTGAAATACAGATGTAAAACCTTTTTTGGGGGCCAAAATTCAGATTAATCTTACCACTATTACTGGAAATGTGTTCTAACAAAAGCAGAATTCAGACAAATGTTGTGATATTTCGACATTTTGAATACTTCTTCGTTCTGTGGTACTGGTCTGGGAGCATTGCAAACAGTAGGTGCTGCAGTTAATGTTGTAGTAGTTTCTGAAAGACTACATTAGTTCGGCGTGAGAAAACAACCAAATACAGAAGTGCAGCAAGTAGCACAAGAGACAGATGGAAACTGCTTCACTTTACCTAAATACTGGGCATTTGTGAGATTTAAGTAAAAAGGGAGCGCTTATCGCTCTCCTCTGCGCAAAACATTTTCTTAATTTGCTTGTTTTTGGTCTATTTGCATATTTTTCCTTAAATTGCAGTGTCTTGTGCTCTTATGGCCACCGTACAAAACCTATACATTGGAGTTACTGAGTCTGTGGAGCAAGACAGGTTTTGTCCTCGACAGAGACAGATTATAACTTGTAATTCATTTTTAGCAAAGCTAGCCACTTTAGGGATGGCAATATTAGTTGGTTGGTCAGTCCACCACTTTGGTCCAGACTGAAATATCTCAACAACTATTGGATTGATTGTCATTAAATTTGGTACAGACAATACAATATTATTAACTTCATGTAACATCATCACCAGGTCAAATGTTACATTTTTCCAGTACCTGTGCTGTGAAATTAATTACATTCCCGTCGGCCTCAGCTGTGCTAATTAGCACATGTTAGCACATTTGTCACTGTGAACATTTTGGCATGCTAATGTTAGCATTTAGTTCCACCATGCCTTAGTACAAACAGAACCACTCATGTGGCTGTAGACTCTTGTTCATACTAAATGTTTAAAATTGTGCAACAGGTTACTTAGATTTATTTCACATCAGATTCAGCCAAACAGACTTTAATTCAGTTGTTTTATATGTAGGGAAATAGAAAAAAGTTTCACTGCTAGAAGCAGCAGCACTGTTAAAGCAAAGTAAAACAAAGATAAACCAAAAGCAACCAGCTCAGCAACATTTCGAGTATATCTGCAGGAAAAGTACTTTTAACTATACTTTTTTCATCTTCTTCAATGTGTCTTTTTGTTTTGGTTATTTTTTGTGATCAACAGGATGCTCCAGCCTAACTGATGATTAGATTACGTGATAATGTGATCAGAAAGTTCCCCTAACCAAAAAAAACCCCCACATAATTTTCCTGCGTGTTGCACAAATATAAGTCAATTTCAGGGGAAAATTATGAATAAATGTTGAGTCATATGGGTAAATGCTGAGTTTCAGAAGTTTTAGTGTGCTGTGATACAAAATGAGAAGCATGCTAATACGCTAACTGTGTTTTCTAATAAACAATCAGATAAAAGAATGTTTATCTTTAATGATATTAAGCCACAGGATGTTATGTAATGTTTATGTGTTATGATGCCTGGATACTTCACTCTAAGGTGTTTCACAATAACTAGCGATACATACTCGCTTACATTTTAAGAATTAAAATCCCCTCTTCATCTCGGAAATAGTTTGACAATCTCAAGGTTCACATTTTCCAGCGCTTTAAACCATTTAAGGTCTTCATCAGCCCATGTATTTAGCTCATTTGTCATGGGAACTGCTTTCACGCAAGTTTAGTAATGGTTATGATTAAATTCAAAGCACTTTTAGGATTTCTCTAGTTCAATTCACGGTCCACTTAAGAGCAAGAATGAACTTTCATGCCTAAATTATAAGCCAATCTGGAAAAGTCCTCAAGTTCTGTGGATGAAATCTAACCCCCACCCAGGGTCAGAGACAGATTTTATGTTGTGGCTCCATTGCTGTCATTAATCTGAAAAACATCTCCATAAAACCATGTCAGTGGATTACATAAATCTTTCTATCATATCATCAATGGTCATTTTACAAGCTTCTTGTATAGCAAGTTGTATACAAGGTTGTAACTGAGTGATAAGCTGGCAGGTGAGTCCTCAGATTTGCTGTCGTTACAGAAGGCAGCTGCTTTTTACAAAGTCACCAGACAGCCTTTTCTTTGTTGGTGATTTCGCCATCTCGATATAGAACCCAAACTACATCCACACAATGTTTCTCAGATGCTTTTGTGTTGTGATTACCAGATCAGCTTACTAGCATCCTCCTCCATTTATATTTATAACTGAT